GACATTCTAATTTATTGAGATGCACCTGTACAAGTAAATGAGACAGAGGGAAATGAGTGAAGGGTATAAAAAAATAACTGGAATGCAGCCATAGAGTCCAGACCTTATGCTTAATCTCCATTTGTGATTAACAAAAGTCAGTCAGTTTTACAGGATTAGAGCCATGCTTGCTAAAAATGACTACTTGCCTAATCTGGCCTGGTGGTGTTACCTTGTTTATTGATGCACACTCATACTTATTGATTATCAGTCTTCTTTTGCTATGTTACCTGAAACTGTAGGTGCTCATGGTGTCGGTAACAGACTGGCGGCCGGAGCTGCTTCCTGCGTAAGGAGAAGTTCTGCCTCCTCGTGGTACACCTGCCCACTGACGGATCCCTTCGCCGACGTCTTCAGTACCCACACTGGATCCGACGCTGGACATGGTGTCGCTGAAATTCAAACCCCATGTTAGTGTGAAAATCATGCTTCCATTGGAAAGATTAACAGCTGTGCAACATGCTTTCAAAGCGCAAGCGGTCAAATCAATATAAGCCCGTATCAATGCATACATGACCTACATGAATACGATCATGCACATAGCTTGAGAGGAGATCTCTCGTCATGGGTGCTGTAACGCCACACATGGGAGTGATATTAGCTCTGATATCCTCATTGCTACCCAGCAGGCCATGTGTGTTCAGTGAGCTGTGAGTTCATTAGTCTTGAGAGCACTGTCATTTTCAGGGCTCGTAGGGGCACAACTCACTGATCCACAGCTTGTTTACAGACTGACTAAAGCTGTTTGCTTGAGATCCCAAAACATAAGCTCTGTTCCGAGAGCTAGTGTGCTGCCTTGCTGCTTATTGTCTAAAGAGGCAGCTATCTTATAATGGAGCATCCTACACTATTAAAAATGAAGTTTCTAAAAGGGGGGTTTTATAGCAATGGAATTGAACCACCATTTTGGGTTCCCCAAAAAACCTCTCAGAGATAATTTCTTAAAAGAACCATTTTGTTTCTTAGTGTTAAGAATATTTTAACAATTTTTAGAACTTTGGATGGTTCCCAACAAAGCACATTTATTTTTAAGAGCATAGCCATGAATTCTCATAAGTGATTGATTTGGAACGCTCTGCATTGGCATATATTTGCATCTGCGTTTATGCATTTGGCAGACACTTTTATTTAAGTGATTTACATTGGATTCAAGGTATAAGTGTATGAATTCCTTGGGAATCGAACCATGACCTTGGTATTGCTTCCACCATGCTCTACTGTCTGAAATACACAGAACTATGAGGAGCTTTTGGTGCTATGAAATAAGTTTTGCTACTACACACAACTGATTAGTACAATTAGTTTTGCATCATCATGTTGCTAAATGATGCAAGAGCTACTCTACCAAGCATAAAATGTGCATTCACACAAATACTGGCTAAAATTGCATTTTTTATTAGATTATTTCAGTACTCCATTAAGTATATACAGTGGAGATCAAAATTAGAGAACAACCTATAATTTCAAGGTCACTGTTTAGCCCTATTTAAAGTTAACCTAACAGGAGTAGAAGGGCAGTTTTTAAGCATATTTGATAAATTAATTGTATTCTGAAGTACAGTATACAAAACTTGAATGAGATATTTAAAATGGAACTCTGATCAAAATTAGAGAACACTTACAGATACCACCAAGTTATTGGTGTTAATCTGGCATCTGGTACTAATTTCCTTAATTATATGACAACCCCTATTTAACTGCCAGCATTTCTCCAATTTTCACTGAGATCGCAAGATGACTAAAACCCTGCGACAGCCAGGAGGATGACCTTTTCAGCCATTGTAAGTTAATCATAAGTTAGTCATTCCAAATATGTGATTTCTCGAATATTGCAGGTTTACGATGACACTAATTCATTCAAGTCCCCCCAAAAAGGCTGGTCATCTATGTAAGACAAATGCACGAGAAGACAGGATAACACAGAGACTCTCAATGGGGAATCGGTTCAACACTGCAGCTGGAATTGCTTGCCAGTTTTGTCAAACATGTTAGTAGTACAGTGGTATACCTACAGCTAATATTCCTTCAAAATTTGAGTGATGAAGATTATAAAATTATAAAAGATTATAAAGATTATAAAATTATAAGATTATAAAAAAAATTAAGTATTTATAGATGGTTCTCTAATTTTGATCTCCACTGTATAGCATTCTGCTTAAACTGCTTATTGCATTGCATTTTAAGATTGAATTATTTATGGATTCATTGCTCAAAACAAATAATAGTACCTATCTTTTAGAAATGGTTTCTTGTTGTATGTATGCCTATGATGACTTAAAATGCTGTGCAGATCACTAGGTTTTGGAACGGAGCCATTGCGTCAAAACCTATTCTAGCTTCCAGAAGCTCTTATTCAAACATACAAGAGTAAGGTAACAAAAATGTTAATTTGCTTGCATATGCCGTGGGTTATCTCCTACCCTGCTCTTGTAATTGGACTCACTACATTCGTACAGAGATTTAAGACCCAAAGCTCTGAGCAACTGCAACAGTTCATTTTATCCCCTTTTTTGCTCGCACAGACAACTGAAAGAGACGAGACGTGGGGGGTCTCGGCTAACGCGCATGCATTATTCAGAAGACAAAGCATATCACAGCTGGTGAACTTTTAAAAAGGACTCTCTCGCACAGAGGAAAGCTTCTTGCATTTAACAAAGCAAAGTGGCAGTGTGGGTATGTTGCGGTTTGCGTCTGACGAGTAGGTGTCTGTTCATATCCGTCCAGCGGAGACTCTCGTCTATCTTCATTCAAACGTGTGAAAGGAAGCCGTGACCTTACACAAGTCCACACACACTTACAGCACTGAGCAACAGGCTAAGCAGGCAACGTCAACAGCCAAATGCAGTGCTGGCCCATCCATCAACATTTGCTTGATGGCGAATTTTTAGACCAAAGAGAGAAGGATGGTTATGCGTTAGACTCCGTCAACACCATTAAGCCACGGTTCACAAAGAGACGCCGTGCATTTATATGCAAAAAAGAAACCGCACTGCATAAAGCAGTGCATTTCTTCATTTTGCAGCAGACATTAATGGATGTTATGCAACTAGAGCTGGACAATATAGGGAATACATTTGCAATATTATATCTGAAAAAATATTTAAAAAAAAAGATTTTTTAAACTCTTGTAGGAAACGTCACTATATGATTCACTGAAGAAGGCTTGCTGCCGAAACGTCTGATTGTTGTTTGCTCTGTTACTAGGTGTATTTACAGTAGTAAATACACCTAGTAGGTTAAATATTAAAGGTAAATAATAAATATAAAAAATATTTTAAAATGCTATACTTAAAAAAATAAAATAAAAAGTAATTTCTAATTTAAAAATATATTTATTGAATGAATGAATATATATATATATATATATATATATATATATAAATATATATATTTTTTAAATAATTAGAATGTTTGACTAAAAATTTGACATCTATGAAAGCCTAAAAAATTAAATTTTTTTCTACATCGTCCAGTCCAATATGCAGCCACTGGCCTACTTTGAAGCCTACATTCCTCCGATTACTCATTCCCAAATGCAGAACCTAGTAAATGAACACGGATACATGGGAGAGAACAACAACAGGATGGGGGATGGAGTGCTTACAGATCTTTCCTTCTAGAGAAGGACTCCACAGCCGTCTGCACACTGTGTGAAGAAGGAGACGCAGTCAGAGACACACAGGAGTGGAGCGGATAACTAAAGTGGTTGGAGGTACGAGCAAAGCAAGCATATCGAATTTTCAGTGAAGTCTAAGCAGTCTGGTGGAGAAGATCAAAGTCTTGAACTCTGATACATCGGACTGCATTTTACTATGGGTGTCGAAGGAGGAAGGCATTATTGAAGCGCTTCTAGTAGCAAAGTGTAGCCTTGATTTTGCACAGTTA